ATTGAGACGTAAGATCGTGGACCTGAACTTGGACGTGAACGTGAACTTAGACCTGGGATACTTAGCCTCAACTAAGGGTCTTTTGTAATGTGACAGACGTGCTTCAGGTAGAACTCAGAACAATTAACACTCTATTCTTAGGACAAAAGACGAGGAAAGAAGGAGAGCTCGAGAGAGCTGGGAACTAAATACAGGTCGTGCGCGCTAGCGCCTCGCTAAGCGAGCATGTGACATCCAGCCCTCGTGACTATAACCGTCACAGTAAGTAGAGGTTTAAGCTATATAATATCTACTATAAACTAATTACTTATAAGAATATAAAGGTAAAGGTATAAGAGCTAGATTATATACTACTTTTAAATATTTTTTATATTATTAGAAAGAACTATAAGTTTATACTCCCTTATTGTGACGGAGCTGGATTTCATTTGACAGGATTTCATTCGCTTGGCGAAGCACGTGATGAGACTTGGCATTGGAACAACTTAAATAACTTCGCTCCTTTCAGATTCTCTTCTCTCTTTAGTTTGATTTCTTCGTACCTACGGTTTTAGTTCTAGCAATTGATTCAAAAGCTGTATACACTTTATCCTTTGTTGGCATCCGTGACACTTATAATATAGGTAATAGTAATAGTAAGATATTAATTGAACACTATATAGAGGTTTTTCTTCCTACGCTTCTAGTCGACCCTAAATAGCGAAGATAGAGACTTACTTTAGTATAAGATAATAATAGTACTTATAGAAGTCCGAAAGTATAAAAGTTGGCTAAAGATTATAGCCTCTCTCTAATTACCCTCCCTTTTATTTCGGCTAATCTCTTTATACTAGAGACTATAGTATAGCTAGTAAAAAGGTTATTCTATTCTAACTATTCTAAGTTTATAAAGGATAGTATTATAAGGTTTAAGAATATATAGAATAATTTAGACTAGAATAAAATCTAAGAGCTATATAGCTAGTATACTAAGGGGTTATATAAGTATAAAAGGCTTAGAGGAGGTATAACTAGATATTAAGTTATAATTATTTATTATTATTTATAAAAGTCTACTAAAATATAGGTAAAGACTAATGTTTTAATATAGTAGCCTATATATTAAAATCGGCCCGGAATTATTTACTCTTAGAGACCCCTATTTTACTCTAAAATTCCATTTATCGAAGACGTAGTACGTTAATACGAGCTATATTTATAAGAGTGTTAAGCGACTTTTTAGGGCAAGAAGTTCTTATGTAAAACAACCGAAACCGAAAAAGCGAAAAAAATCCAAATAGGACAGGGGTCAATTTACCCCGCCATCCATCCATTAGGAAAGCTGAGGTAAGATATGATACGATACTACCGTACACCCCAAAGCCTGGTCACAGAGGAGCACACTTGCAGATGGAGGCCCCCCTCCTGTAGAGAAAGATGTATAAATAGGGTTTCTCTCTTCCACACACTCCTCGTTTTCCTAAACATCTCTTCGATCTTGGATTGTGACTCCCGATAAGATAGGATGCGGGGAGAAAACAAACAAGATGCGCACTTGCATGAAGAACTATTGGCCACTCGGCCACAACTTATCACAAGGAAAATGATAGGGTAACACAAGAAGAACAAAATCAATTTCCCGGTTCGAGTCGACGCGTCGAAACCTCGAAACCATCCTATCGGTCCAGAAAATTATTGGGATTTTGGTGATGGTGGGGTGTCGCAATATGTCGAGTGGACGGTAGGCTTGCTGTAAGCTGCAGGAGATATGCAAGTGTAGGTCATCAGCAGCGATAATAAGACGGCGTTGTCGTTCCTCCAAAGGAAATTTCATGATACGGAGGACTTTCATGTATTTTGAAATGAATTTGGAAATAGTTTGGCGACGGATGTGAGGTTTCTCAAAACGCTCGCCCCCCTTTTCTTCATCTGTCATGAAGCCAGTTGTGGACGGGTAACCTCGAGGTTTTGCTGCACACGCAACGTGGGAAGGCTTCATGCATCCCGACTCACGGACTTTAACCTTAATCGTTGTTGTCGCAAAGACTCGGCGGAAACCTGGAGGGGTTGGATAACCTTTTCTTGACCCGCCTTGTGCCGTTAGGTAAGTGACAGATTTAGAAGCCTTTGTTTCTGTTTCTGGCAGGTCTTGAGCGACCGATTATTTGGGAAATTGGACGTATTACAGCGGCCAGATATCCCGTGGACCCTGTCGGATACCGGGCAAGCACGATAACGTTCGAGTGACAGGAATCAATTATCATTTTAGCTTTCCCGTCTCGCAACGACACCATATTTACCAACCGCAGAGTATTTTTGTATACTATACGAAGGAGTCCGAATTAGCATGATTGTGTGTGAAAAGGCAGAACAAATCCCAATGATGATCGCCAAATTCTCCACTGCGGATAGAGCATGTGAATATCTTCCTTGTACAGACAGACATGGGTTGATGTTTGACCAAAGAGCGTTTCGATGTCATCGATATCGAATATTGGCACAGAAGACCTCTTCTTAGGTTTTCCGTGGAAACGGAACATGTTTTGGTTGATTTCCAAGCACAGGTCCTCCTGACGACATTAAGTTTTTGCGGTCGGATTTGAGGATGAAGTGGCTCGCTTTCATGCAGGTGGTATGCATCATCTCCCTATGATATCCTCCTTCTGCAAGTGAGGTCGTTGGCGGCATGGTACCGTGCGCGATGCGAACTGCCAGCGTTCTTGGAAGAGTGGGGTACATCCGGTTCATCCTTCGTCTCGAGTCACCTTATTTTCTTGGACTTCAGCAGTTCATCCATGTGTAAGTGGATGGAGGGGTAGGGGTAGGGGGTACATGTACATATGTACGAAGCGTCGTTGTGCAGCAGTCAAGTAGTAATGTTGGGATTTTTGGCCACCCACACGCATCAAGATTTGGTGATTGGCGAGATGAGTTGCCAATAACCCGTTTTTGCTTGGTGGTTGGATGGTTGATTGGGGAGCGGAGGTGGTTATTTCTGGATGTCTCCCAAAAATATTACCAGTAGGGCCGAAAGGTATGATCAGGATGAAAGGCGTTGCTGTCGAGTCTATTAGGAGGGACAGCTGTATTTGATCCAAATAGCCAGACAAACGGTAGTTAAGCGTACAGTGCCATTATTGTTGCCGCCCAAGGTACCTACTGTAGTAGGACTGCAGGAACCGAATGAGGGAAACGACGCACTGCACCCAAGTCCTCCAACTGGAAATCGTTACAAGCTGTCAAGCACGTGGAGACAGGATGGGAAGGATCCTCAGGTTGTGGAGAGAAATAGAAGAAGGGCAACGAAGATGTCGGGACTAGCATGACTTCTCCATAGCCAAGAAGTGTGATATTGTGGTTGAAATGATATGACCATGACAGGCGCTAAAGATGAAATATCCGCAAGTCTGTCTGTTGTGATTTGTCGGGTGACATTTCTTTAACAGCCTTACATGTCGATGGGAGCCCAAGGTTCCAACGGTGCTGCTGCTGTCAAGTTGCCCTTTTGGTCGTGAGGTGGCGGGAACTAAATATATTGACGGAGATGCCTCGCTATTATTGCTGCAGGCCCATATGACCGTTGACGACAATAGATTAGATTGGGGCAATATGGAGACGGGTCCAACGGTCAACGGTCTTTTCCAGAAGATGAAGGGAAGCTTTTTGTTGATAACCTTAGGGCCGGGGCAGATCCCGATGCGGACCTCCAGACCTGGATGGGCAAGGGCAAACTCTACGGAATTGAAAAAAAGGAAATGAGATCAACCACAACCAGAGAAGGAGGGCAATCGCGAGGGGTAGTTGAGAGGGGAGATGAGCAGTTCTTAGCGAGCTACTATAGAATACTTACTCGCACACGATTCGCTAGTAGTAGCCACTACTGTTGATACTAATTCTCTCTTTCCTCGTCCCAAAGTGAAATGGAACGTTGGTCAGTTTGTCATTGGTCAGATAGCTGTTACTGTCATTTTCGTTGGGCAGGAGCGAAGATTGTTCAACTCCATGGTCGAAATAAGCGGGTGCGGGTGAGGGCAACGTGGATTTCTCTTGCAAATGGAAGCTACAGTTGTGCCCCGCCCTGCCCCTTTTCAGACCGAGCTTCTCAACTTGGAACTTGGGTGATGATGGGTGCACAGTCGCTTTTCGCCACGGCGCCAGCATCCAGATGATTTCCTCCAGACCCGTTGAGTCGCACATCGAGTCCACTGTCAACCGACATGACATCTATCGCCCGAGTGATTGGTCTGGTTCTGTACTACGGATGCGTGTACGAGAGGATGGTGTCTGCCAATGGATGAAGTGTATTGCGGGCAGGGAGCGAGGTTCCCTCTATTGGGTCTCGATGTCGTGCAATATTTACTCTAGTGCTGCAAAACCAACCGTCATCGATCTTGTCAACGTTCATCTCCCGCGGCCACGATTGTTCAGAGCGCAGATCGACTCCGTACTGGTAGATTTCGCCTATCACTCCACTCGGCTAAGCTTCCACCCCGTCCATGATGCCCTCCTGTTTGAATGTAGCTGGGGCATCGTAGATGATGATTACCTACTACTGACTAATACTGATACTTCCAACTAATACCAATACGAGTACTACCTGATAGTGATACTGATATTGTACTGTACTAGCTGCATCATCAGCATCATCATTTCATCTGCTGTGCACTTCTGACGGTCAGAGTACTTTCTGCAGACGGCCAGAGTACTTTCTGCAGACGGCTTCGGATGATGTTGATGATGAAGATGAATTTTGCCACCACGTAAATAAGCCTACTCCAAGAACTGACCTCAGCACTCACAGAGGCAGCTGGAGCTGTCAACCCAACGGCTTCATGCAAAGTACGGGGTGCCAGAGTCGGAATCCTCGCGCAACTGGCCCCACATCTCCTACATGCCATGCCCACGTCGGTCCTCGAGTGACTCCGTAGTATAGTGACCCCCTCCTTTTGCCCTCAGTACCCTCGCTCTAATGTGGTCGCCCCTGCCCTCAGCAGCACTCTCCTTCTCCCTCGCAATGCCCGATCCCACCCACGGGAGCCACTCCACCACTGCTCGGGGGCACTTGCTCAACTGCCCTCTACCTGCACTGAACCCTCGCTGGACCGAGTGCGACATCCCAATTCGCACCGTACGCTACCGCTACCGCTTCATAGCACCAATCCTCCCACTCCTCTTTTTTCCTTTCCCTCCCTCCGGCTTCTGCTTCTGCTTCCCTTGGAAACTTGCTTTGCTCCTCACCTCCGCCCATCCTCACTCCCACCTCTCAACATCAGACATCGTGTCGAGGTTGTTTGCATCAACTCATCGACATCCCGCGTTCCCTTCGGTGCAGCCATTTGTTCTGTGTTGTGCTTTTCGTTTGGTAAGTGAGACACGCAACCTCCCATCCCGCGACAACACGCCCCCGATAGATTTTCCATTTTCACTCTCGGTTACGCTTTTTTTCTACGCGCGCAAATCAAATACGCTGGATCACCACTCAAGCCACCCACGCCCACCATCCACGTCTACCTCCCACGCCCACAACCACCGCCCCCCATGGCAGAAACCGGAAAAGGAATATCAAACTAATCGCATCCCAGATTTGACAGAGTCCCTTTCCTGCGACTTTTTCCTGCGTCGTATACGTTCCTTACATCACCACTCTCCGACAGCGCTGCAGGCCTCGGTTTTTCGAAGCAGCCAGAGATCCGAGGAATATGTCTTACTACGAGAATCAGCAATGGCCGGCCGCCGGTGGGCAACCCGCATGGGAGCAGCAGACACCGCCCGCCCGCTCAGGTACGTTGGGGATGCAGAAGCACCAGAAGCACCAGAAGCACCAGAAGCACCAGAAGCACCAGAAGCACCAGAAGCACCAGCAGCAGCAGCAGCAGCACCAGCAGCACCAGCAGCACCAGGTGAAATCTGGTGTGGGAGAACGTGTCAATTGACTTCTTTGCAGGTGCCAGTTCCGCTGTTCCTCGCGAGGACTCGACCGCTTTCAGTACACAATTAGAGGGTACGTTCAAGATTTTCGCGCTCGACGGTGGATTTTTCTCATGCTGGTTTCTCGAGATGGTGGCGAATGCTTTTCGGATGGAATGGAAATGAGAATGAAGCGGATGCGCCATCTCAAAACGACGTGTATCTGCATGTCATGATTCAACGGGCTAATGGGTGTTTACAGAGGTCGATCGTGCGGTTGACAATCTCGTCAAGAGTGGAAAGATGTTTGGTGGCATGGCCGCTCGTCGCGACTCGATGCCCATGACTGGTGGAGCTGCAAGAAGTTTTCCAGAACAATTCGGTACGTACACCAGCTCCGAAAGACACACAATCCCATAGCTGATGAAATTGGTCAGATCCACGCATGGGTGGCGGTCCTCCACGACACCACTCGGTCAGCGATTTCGGTGGGAACGATGCGCGATCATTCTCAGGGTCAAACCTGCAAAGCTTCTATGCTAGTCAGCGACATCAACCCTCGCGTGGTGCGAATGAGGCCGAGCAAGTGATGCAGGCGAAGAGACGGATGGCGGCCCAAAGAGAGCGCGAGTTACGAAACTACCACCAAGAGCAACAGTACAATCGAAGTAGGCCACCCTCTTCTGTATCACAATAATACCCATGTCAATATCCTGTCGACAATCATGTACCCAGCGGTTCACATACACTTCAATACCCTGTTATAAATATTCTTCTTATCTTCCGTCTTCGATGCCATGTGTGATTTCGGACTTCTTCACCTTCCTACACCCCCCTTTCTCTACATGGTATACGCCCTTACTGACTAGATGAAGGCGTTGTAGCTGAAGTCTCAACTTTTGGACCCAAACCTGACCGTACCATGAGCCCCGGAAGTACAATGGGTGAAGAAGAGCGACGTGAGTTGATTGCTCGTCAACGAAGCGCCCTTTATGGCGAAGGTCCAGCTTTGTCCGAGACTGGAGAGAACGGAACCCCTCGCCCCACAACACAAGGTTCTGGTGCCCAGTCCGCAACCGGTATCCGTGGTCACCTCCCACTTGCTTTTGATCACTACAATGCGCAAACCAGCCAAGCTGAGGGTTCAAGTCAGCAAGCGACTGCCGAGCCTCAGTCAGCAACGAGTCAGGCTCCGGGCCAACAACGTTCGCGTGCCAACAGCAACTCATCGCCTTCATCCAACCCAACTAGCAGCTTCAGTCTGTTCGAGTCGGCCGCTCAACAATCTAGTCGTACTTCCACGTCCTCCCCTGGCGGTTCTCCTCCTCGACAAGGAAAGGCACCGACTAGCTCAGGTGTAGCACCTATTGGTACTCGACCAAGTGCTCAAGCACCAAACCCAGCTTTGAACAAGCGCTCTACCACTCCACTTCCATCTCCATTAAGCTATGGCTTTGCTGCTTCTGGTGAGGAGAACAAGCCAGCGGGTGAAAAGGATGGACGAACTTCAGCTGCTTCCAACCCAAACGGGCAACAACAAAATCAACAAGATCATAACTTAGGATGGGGTAAAAGCGGTGGTGTTTGGGGTAACAAATCTCTCGGTGTTCAAGCTTCGGTCTGGGGTTAAAGTCTTTTTGTCAATTCGGGACGGCGAACGTAAAAAATGGAAAACAAATGGTCATTTGGTGGTGTTGGTCTTTGGCTTCCTGGGCAACGGAGCAACCTGGGGGAAATCTTTATGTTTTTCTGGTAGGAAAAGGGGGACATTCTCGGTCATTGCGCTTGGACATGTTCGAATTCTTCCTCCTCATGGGGTTATCTGGGATTCTCATGCGACTAATTCGGCTTTTTGTGTTTTTGTTTTGACGGTGTTTTTTGCTGGTTTTTTTCCTGCATTGATGGAGTGATGGATGGGATCTGTTTGCTGGATATCCTCTCTCTGCTCTGCTTGATTATAATACTGGGGTCGTTTGTCGGATTTTTGCTGCCCCCTATTTCCTCGTCTTTTTGTGTTTTACAAAATGCGCGTTCTCTCGGTCTGGGCTGGGTACTTCATATGGTGGTGTTCTTCCTGTTTTTCCTTCCCTTTTCCATTTACGTTACGTCTCTGCTGGAGGGCAAGATTGATGGTGGATGTAGTAGTGTGCGGGGAGATTGAAATTGGGGGAGCTAGGTGTGAGCTTTTGATTTTCATCGTTTGGCACAAAAACGGGCGTCTTTTTTTGCGAGGGTGTGGGCAGGTGGAGTGTGTTTCATGGATGGATTATGGCGGGGGAATAGTATTGGCATGGAATGAAAGGGGGTGTGGATGAGATGGTGTTGTTTTGTCTTGACTTTGGTGGGATGGATGGATGGATTGAAGAAAGGAAGGAATGGACAGTACATTTGGGAATTGAATTGATATGGGCATTTGGGATGGATGGATGGATGGATGGGTGGCGTGGTGTAATAGCGAGCGTGTGAGCCAGCGTGTTTCGAGGATAGGTAGTGAAGAGGGGAAATGTTATGAGAAAGGAAAGAAGAAAATAGGAACCCTTTTTTGTGCCATTTTGTTTTTTTGATGATGATAGGTGTTATGTGTGTTGGTAAAGGTCGGGTGGGTTGGGTTGTTGGTGAATGTGATGGGTAGCTAGGTGTGGGTAGGTAGGTGAAATGAAGTGAAGTGGGCGAAGTCACGTGAAGAAGGGAATCAAGGGATGGGTCGGTCTAGTATGATTTAGTATGATACGAAGTTGGTATGATTTGAGGTTAGCAATTGGTTAGTTCATAAGCTTGGGCTCGGGCTTGGGCGATATTTATAGTGTGGGGTGTAGGTGTATATGTAGATATAGATATAGGTGTTACGGAACGTGCTAGAGTACTAGAGTTTACCCCCTTTGTTATTTAGTATATAACTCTTACTTTAGCGAGACTCTCCTTGTACTTTCTATACGGATCCATATAAGTCACGCTAGCCTTGTTAAGAAGACGCTAGTCTTATTTAGGAAGGATCTATAGTATAGGGGAGCTCCTATATTATAGTACTCCTTTCTCTCTTAGCTAACTTCCTTTTCAGTTATTTACTTTTTATATTATTATTATTATTCTTACGCCGCTAGGCGTAAAGCCTACCCTAAGGGTATATAGTACTTCTACTTGTCTTAAACTAGTATAGTATAGGATACAAGGAAAAGTAAGAATACTACGAATATTCCTAGGCCCTATAAATGTGACGACACGTACGCAAGGCCCACGGTGTAGGTTGTGGAATCGTAGAACTGTCAATCAAACAAAGATTCTAAGCTGAGGAGAAGAGGAGAGCTCGAGAGAGCTTCGATCTAAATACTTGGTGTGGGTCGCTAAGCGATACCACGTGATCCGAATGGTGGTGACGGTTAGAACCGTCATAATAAAAGCCTTAAAAAACCCTACTGTCACGAATCACGTGCTCACGTGATACTTGTCATAATAAGAGGCGCAACCCTCGACAGGCACATCCAGGTTTCTTATAGCAAATAGGGACCGTTTGGAGTAGCTAAGCGATCCAGGGATTTCATAGCAATTATATCACGTGACTAGTAATGGTCGTTTGGTCGCGGCGACCAGCAGCGATCATGAGGATGAAGGTTCTATATAAGACTGGCACGTCTGCCATTAGATAGGAGCTTCGTGCTCAACTTAGTTATCAATCTTATCATATTTGTTTGACATCTTTGATACAAGTAACGAGTTCACTTCCAAGTGAACAACCCGATAGTCTTCTTCTTATCATAGCATACCAACCAGCGAACACCCAGCCAAGTTTAGTTAGCCAGTTTGAGTATTCGTTACATTAAGCTTAGACTTAATAAAAGCTGAAAAATGTAACGCCTAAATATGCATGAGCTAATATAGAGTTGCTTAATTAAGCTCGGACTGTATAAAATGCCGGATTGTGTAATGCTTAAATAGGTATAAGCTAGATATAGCGTCGCTTAATTAGGCTGGTGTGACGGTTATGGTCACGAGGGCTGGATGTCACATGCTCGCTTAGCGAGGCGCTAGCGCGCACGACCTGTATTTAGTTCCCAGCTCACTAGAGCTCTCCTTCTTTCCTCGTCTTTTGTCCTAAGAATAGAGTGTTAATTGTTCTGAGTTCTACCTGAAGCACGTCTGTCACAGCTGGGACTTAAACGGGAATCTGAAAAATGTAACGCTTAAATAAGTATAAGCTAAATACGACGTTGCTTGATTAGTCTTAGACTTAAATGAAAAATCTAAAAATTTAATTGTTAAATAGGCATTAGATAGATACGATGTATCTTAATTTAACTCAGAGTTGAATAAAATGTATAAAATTACAACGCCTAAATAAGTATAAGCTAGATATAGCGTTACTTAATTGAATTTACACCGTATAAAATGCTGAAAAGTGTATCGTCTAAATANACGATGTATCTTAATTTAACTCAGAGTTGAATAAAATGTATAAAATTACAACGCCTAAATAAGTATAAGCTAGATATAGCGTTACTTAATTGAATTTACACCGTATAAAATGCTGAAAAGTGTATCGTCTAAATAAGTATAAGCTAGATATAGCGTTACTTAATTGAATTTACACCGTATAAAATNTTAAATAGGCATTAGATAGATACGATGTATCTTAATTTAACTCAGAGTTGAATAAAATGTATAAAATTACATCGTCTAAATAAGTATAAGCTAGATATAGCGTTACTTAATTGAATTTACACCGTATAAAATGCTGAAAAGTGTATCGTCTAAATAAGTATAAGCTAGATATAGCGTTACTTAATTGAATTTACACCGTATAAAATTGTGACGAAACTCAAACTATCTAACAAAAGTAATCGTTCCGAAGGTTGGTATGCAGATAAGAAGATCAGATGCGCCGGG